TATTTACATTTATCATCCTTTCTATAGCCAAGCCATTCACAGGGGCAAATTTCTGTAGTATACGAGGAATAAAACATTTCGGGATGTGTTTAAGCTTGGGGTTTTATGGGTCACATCACACCACTCTGTCTTTGATTCTTTTCCTACAACAGCATGCCATTAAGTATTTTATTTCTTATATACATATAGAATATAAGGCCAAATATAGCCCGATATGGCCAAAAGTTTGTGGACACATAACCATCACACCTATATGATTTTTGATATCCCATTCCACATTTATTCCCCTTTTGCTGTTATAATATCCTCCACTCTTCTGGGAAGGCTTTCCACTAGATTTTGGAGTGTGGCTGTGGGGATTTCAGCCACAAGAGCATTAATGAGATCAGGTACTGATGCCGATCGAGGAGGCCTGAGGTGCAGTCAGCATTTCAGTTCATCCCAAAAGTGTTCAGCGGGGTTGGGGTCAGGGCTCTGTGCAGGACACTCATGTTCTTCCATTTCAACCTTGCCAAACTTTGTTTTCCTGGAGCTCAGTTTGTGCTCAGAAGCATTGTCATGGTGGAACAGGTTTGGACCTCTTAGCTTCAGTGAAGGTAAAGATACAGCATACAAAGACATTCTGTAGAATTATGTGCTTCAAACCTTCTGGCAACAGTTTAGGGAAGAACCACATATGGGTGTGATGGTCAGGTGTCCACAAACTTTTGCCAATATAGTGTATAGTATATAGTGTAACTATGACGTCACGTTGCTTGTCATTGATATTTTTTTTAACCTGAAACTGAGCATGTTTGTATAAATAAATAAAATAAACAAAATAAATAAATAAAAACCTTATAGTAAGAGAGCGGGGTTTAAGATTAGGTTTCATCATGGAACCGATATTGACAGAAATGATTTCGGATTGGTGTAATAAACCTGGTTTTGTCGTGGAATAGCCCTGAGATATGAGCGCTCGAGACATAAAGCCCTGCGCACTGACCTGTAGCCAGCATTTCGACCTGAACACCGACTGAGCACCTGGCTAACACGGTAGCCTGCACTTTCTTCAGCTCTTTCTCGGTGACCTGTAGCCGCTTCCTCAGTCCCTCAATCTCATCCTCTCTCCGTTTCATTTCCCGCTGATACACAGCGCTGTCGTCCTGAATGAGCTGGCTAATCTCCGCCACTGCTGCTTTCGTTAACACGTCCAATATGGCGGTTATCCGCGTCTGTAACACCACAGCAGCCATTTCCGCTATTAACAACAACAACAACAACAATAGCACAATTCAACAACACACTTTAACAACACACTGTCGAGCTCCTGTGGCAAAACTTCCATCCAGTAATTTTGTAAGGGTAAATACAGTTAAGTAGTACAAGGAAATGGTAGGCAAGGCGAGAGAGTCACAACAGCTGACGTCACTTCCGTTTTTTTTAAAACGAGTAGTACGAAAACACCTTTCAAGATACAAGACTGTCTTTTTTTTTTTTAAATAAAAAAGTGAAAATAAACTATTTCAGAGTTTATCTATAATACTACAACTACTACCACTATTATCAATAATAATAATAATGTTCTAGTTATTATTGTATTGTATAATAATATGAAATATAATTTACACTTGCCTCACACCTCAGGGGTTAGGGGTTTGAAGCCTGTCTCTGGCCTGCATGTGTGGAGTTTGCATGTTCTCCCTGTGCTCCCACAGGGTACTCCGGTTTCCTCCCCCAGACCAAAGACATGCGTTGTAGGCTGATTGGCATTTCCAAATTGTCCGTAGTGTGTGTGAATGTGTGTGAGATTGTGCCCTTGTACCCCAAGTTCCTTGGGATAGGCTCCAGGCTCTTCCGTGACCCTGTGTAGGCCAATCAGTATGGAGGATAGATGGATAATTCAAACATGAAGTCATGCACTGTATAAGAATATAGCATTTACGTTGCATCATTCATTCACACAAGTCTGGATCCAGAGCCTATCCTGGGAACACACCCTGAAAGGGACATCAGTTCATCGTAGGGTACCATGCACACACTCATTTGCATACTTATTTGCCAATCCACCCACCACCATGTTTTTGGAAGGTAGGAGGAAAGCAGAGAACCTGGAGGAAACTCAGACATATGGACACGAGGAGAACATCTAAGACTCAGATCCAGAGTGAGCTTAGTATCGATCCAGGGAGCTTGGAACTGATCATAAGACTACCTGTGTGCTACCTTCTGTGGAAAATACTAGGATAAGTTCAAACATGGAAGTGTTAAGTGCAGCTTTATAACTGTCCTTAAATCAACTGTATTGGACAAAATTATAATATAAGACTGACATCAGTAAAAACAAAAAAATATGTGTTTGACATGGATATGTATGTTCACTTGCTTTACAACTATATTTCATTCATTCATCTTCACTAACTGTTTTATCCTGGTAAAAGTCATGGTGTCTTTAAAACTGTAATAAAAGGTCATTTGTAAAGCCCAGAATTCTCTTCAGTCAACAGTATTTAAGATAATCTGGCATATTCAGATTTAAACTATAAGTCTAGTTGTCCACCAGGACAAACAATAACACATTCTTTTAAATACTGTAGAAAAATACCTTCTGAATACTGTAAAAGAGGCTATAAAGGGCTATAAATAACGATGAACTCTCTCACTGTCTTACTTTCAACCCAGAATAGTTTTAACTTTGTGGCAAAAAAAAAGCTGAAGGTCTAAACAGAGTTGTGTGGTGTGGGACTCATTGAGAATTTGGGATTAGCATTTATCTAATTGAACTGCTATCATGTGAAGAATTATCCCCTGGATATTCCCCTCCAAAACATTAAAAACACCATAAACTGATTTTACCTATAGGAAAAGTGAAAATAATTAGTCATTATGCAACAACTGCAGAAGGACTTAGTTTTTAATTGTGTACAACTTTTTAAATTAAATTAAATTGTGTCCTCTTTTGGGTTAGTGGTTGTGAGGCTCTCCAGTTAATTATAAATGACATGAATGAAAAGCAAAATGTCACTTATTATATGCTACATAGCATTAAGCTTTCAAGTTCTTTAAAATTAACACCAAACAAACCTTTGCGCAATGTATTGAAATATTTTGACAGTAGTAAATATTTATAAAGTAACCACAATTCAAAATGAACAAAGCTGTTTCAAAATGAAGTTTAGAAGAATTTCCTCTCACCCCAAATGCTGTCCATCAGCCAAGACACGTTTAGTGACTGGAGCTACGAGGCTGATGTAGCTAACATGGGAACATGGAAGCTTGTAGCTACCAGTTTAGCATTGCTCAAACTGCTTGCTGGATCATCGCACACGCAACTCAAACTATGTTTAACTGTTGTTCAGAAACTCAAACAGATATGTTTATGTGGTTTCTGACACTGTTGGATGGACAAGCGGATGTTGAATAACAAGAAACAATCATAATGGCCATCTTGAAGCCGTATCACTTCCTTTCTTCTCTGTCACGCTCTGTGAAAGATGGGGTTGTACGTTACACTCAGAAAAAAAATAACACTAAACTGTTCATTTGCTTGTCACTGGGGTGATACCCTTAAATGATACCTTTAATATGTATCTTCTTAAATTTGTGTTTAAAGTAAAGCTTGATAGGTACACTACATGCACCTTTCTACAAAAAAGATACAGAATAAACGTATAAATGCCAGTGACAAGGAATGTTTTCTGAGACTGTGATGTCTTTTGAGGTGTGCGTGTGTGATTGTTTTAACATTCAGTTTACACAATACTAAACTGTTAGATATAAGCAGTCCTGTACTTGTAGTCTGCAATAAAGTAATTCAAAATGAAGTAAAGAAGCAAACTTTAGACACCAAACAAGTCTTGGCTAACTAAATAAATTTAAGGTAAGTGGACGATAAAGTGGACATTTCTCCACATTACTGAAGTTTAAAACTAGGCTTTGTGTCAATATGAAATTTGATTTTTGCCTAAACTTTTATCAGGGATTACAATATTATCACAATACTGACTTTTTTTAAACTTTCTAGGTAGCAATTTCTTGCTCATAAAATTGGCCATTTGCTTTCAAATATAACTCAAGGTTATACATTGTCCACAATAACCATATTGTGCAACCATATTGTATTAAATTTTGTGCCATAGTGTATAGTCAGTTAATGGTACACCCGTGTGTGTGAGACAATCCAAAAAGGCTAAATTTGGCTTTCAAAGTCACCAGTAGTTGCAGACCTCCTCCTCGGTGTGGCTGCGCTGGTGCAGTTTCAGTGAGTTTAAATGAGAGTACGACTTGCCGCACTCCTCGCAGCTGTAGGGCTTCTCTCCAGTGTGGCAGCGCTGATGTGAAATGAGGTGGGAGTTGCAGTAGAAGCGCTTGCCGCACTGTAGGCATGTGTAGGGCCTCTCACCCGTGTGGATACGCTGATGGATCTTCAGGTAGAAGCGCGTGGTGAAGGTTTTACCGCACTGAGCGCAGCGCGAACTCTTCTCCCCCGTCCCCACCCCGTCACCTCTCTGCTCGCTGACAGGAGGAAGCGCTGCAGCGTTAGAGTTAGTGAACCGATTAAGTCTTTGTTGACGGGCATCACAATCTGTGGTTTGCTGATACTGATAGTGAATGGTGTTATCCTCTCTTGGGTTTGGGGATGCATTTGTGCTGTGATGCCCAAGAACTGTATTAGTAGTGTCTTGTGATGCCTCCGGTCTCATGCTGAAGTCCTCTAGATCAGGTGAGTCCCAAATAACACCGGGTTTGGCTTCGTTAAGACCTGCAGAATAAAAGATGTCCCTGAGTCTGCATAAATGGAGAAATCTGCATTTTTTTCATACTACTCTACATGTTAAAATGGTGCCTAAACTGCTATTATGTGTTATAATGAGGTACTATCCATGTGATAACCATTTCTACCATAAAAGATACATTTAATTTAATTTTTTCCTTAGAACGTACAGAACACACAACTCTGGCACTGGCAAATCTAGGCACAATATAAAATTAATATGATATAATTTAGCTCAAAGCCTGGGTCTCTGCGGGACTAGTGGTTAGGGCTTGGTGCTCTCACTGCCATGGCCCGGGTTTGATTCCCAGCCAGACAACTAACCCCAGCCACTGGGGTTGCACAAGACAGTGCACTCCCAGTGCTGGTCCCAAGCCCGGATAAAATTGGCGAGGGCTGCGTCAGTAAGGGCATCCATCGTAAAAACTGTGCCAAATCAAATATGAGAACCAATGATCCGCTGTGGCAACCCCTAACGGGAGCAGCCAAAAGAAAAACAACAACAACAACAATTTAGCTCAAAGCCTGCTTTAAAAGTTTCGGATCTACGACTAAATGTATTAATTTCATGCTGTTTATAAGAAAAGAAACTGTCATAGAACATCATTAGGATGACTACAATACTTCTATGCCTCACCTTCTCCTGATGTGTTGGATGCATGTTGCTCCTCCTCCCAGCAAACACGAGTCTCCTCTATCTCTACATGAAGAATAAAACAATGAAACAACTGTTTTAATATTGCAATGTATTAATCTATACACTAACTTGCTAGCAGCATTGCTGGGATTTTAAACACCTTAATGTCACTGAATTATCCATCCAAAAGCAATATTGTGAACAGACATCGTCTATGATGAGCTACATTTTAACTAACACACACTGTGAACTGAAAAAGATAAGCTAGAGTAATGGTAAGTGTGTTAAATAAAGAGGCCAGTAAGTGTATGGAAACAAAACAAAACACCATCCAAATAATATTGGATCGGTGGTGGTCCCTTTCTGCTATTGGACAGGGATGAATGCGGTTCAAAGCACAGGTTAACCTGATAATATGGCTAATGAGTGTAATTACAATCTAGGTGGATATACAGAGGAAGATTTCAGTTTACCATCTGCATTGTCCCATGGCTTCAACTCGGTCCTCTCCTCTTTAACCTGAAACGATTCTGCTCTATCCTCCTGCTGTAAAAGGAAAAGTCAAAAAAATAAAAGAGCAGCATCGGCAAGTGAAGGAAGATTTTTTTAAAAAGACAATTTTTACCTTTGCATTAGAAGAATGCACTGAAGAAGTATCTGTGCGTGAATTTGTGTGTGTTTCCTTACAGTCTGTAGTTAGGAGAAAAAAAAAATTGATTATGTCTTTATATCTTGCATCAATGGTGTTCAAAAGGTCATAAGTATTACCTGAAGTCCCCCAATACCAGTGGTTATGCATATTGTACATTACTCCATCCAAATGACATCACTTGACCTTAAAAAAATTCCAGTGTAAACCGGACAAAGATACACTATTCCGTTGTGTATGGGAATGCTCAGTGAACCTGGGTAGTGGAAAAGAGTAATTCGTTTAATCTCGTTGATTATCGACAAAAAATGTCCCTCTTAGTCGTAATTATTTATTCTTTACATCTTCCCAGATGGCTTTAAAGCTAATTAAAAAGAAAATCCCTCTTGATTTCCTTATATGGAGGTGGGAATACACTCTGAATGTAAGATGCCAGGCCATCACAGGGCACCATGCACACACACACACACACACAGTCACACAGTCAGGGGTGATTTAGAGTAGCTAATCCACTTCCTATCCTGTTTTTGGGAGGTGGGATGAAACCGGAGAACCTTGGAGGAAACCCATGGGGACAAAGGAGGAGATTTTAGAGAAATATGGGCCACTTTCCTGAAAAAGGAGAATGTTGACTTGGATGACTGATTAACTTACGATCTCATCTCTTCTCCAGAGGAGGCTTCTGTGGAATATTATCAAAGGTATGGATCAGACTGCATTGTAACTGAACTGTGTATGATGAACATCATGTACACCTCATCCCCCCCTCATTGACACCTCTTTCTCTTTTTTAAGTTTCCTCCTGTAACACTTTGTACATATTGGGAATTGATCTCCATGTGTGTCTTCTTTTTGACTTTACATTCATGGAGAACAAATAAAGACATTACTCAAAAAGAGAGTTTACAGAAAGATGCTCCCGAGGGTCCCCTTGTCCACTCAGGGTCCCTGATGATCCCCAACTCCAATTAAAGTCTTCCTGATCCAGCTTACCTTGCAGTGCAGCTGTGATGGTAACCTGTACAGCCACCGAGCGGCGGTTTGGAGCGGACTGGCGGGCAGCTGCTGCCTGGCGCGCCGATCTCAGCTCACTCTCTGCGAACTGCAGTTTACACAAAAGCGCCTCGACCTCCATTTGTCTGCGCGCTATCTCCGCGCGTAAAAGCGCCGAGTCCTTATCTATGATTTTGGTCATCTCCACCAGTGCACCCTTGGCAAACCTTTCTATTATGGACGCTAACTGGGAATGGATATCGACAGAAGACATTGTTCTCAGGAAACGAGGTCTGTTTCGCGCTGATGAAGGTTTTAACACAAAATAAATATATTGTAGTTATAATAGCTCCTCCTGTTAGAACCGTAGTGTGTCAAGAAACTGACAAAATTTAAATTCACTCTTATTCTTTTGTACTGTATACCAGTTTTCTTAGAAACCGCTATTCTCAAGAGCACTCGGTTAAGAAAATGTTTACATTAGTTTCCACCAAGCGTTCACTTCCGCGTTCAGTGACGTCGCTCTACACGCCCTACATCGACCAATAGCGTTACACTTCCGTAAACACTGACGTTTCAGTGGCTACGACCAAAATCATCCTATACTACCATACTAAATAGTATGTCAAAACAGTACGCCATAGACAGTATAAGTTACTATAGTTACCAAAAAGGTGGTGTACTATTTAGTAAGGTAGAAACCGTATTCATAATCAGACTGGAAACCGGTGAAAGAAAGGACATACATTTCACTTTTACAAGACAATATGACTTTATTGTATGGTAAATGTCTAAAACTGAGGCATCATATATTATGTAAACAAGTCTGTATATGAATTTAAGCATGAAATGCACGAAATCCACACAATTACAAATATATTTTTGATTTCATTTTGTGTACATTACCAATATTTCCCAATTTTTTTTTAACCTGACATATACAACAGACTATACACACATGTTGTAGATTATGGGCAAAATTAAAGAGTATTTATTTATGCCAACAACATGCACACAGTCAATGTGTAATTACAGATTAGAAAGAAAAGGATATGCTAAAATTTCAACTAAACTGTAAATTTCAAAGCCACTAAGAATGAAAATGTTTGTTCACTTTTTTTTTTTTTTTTTTTTTTTTTTTTTT